CAGCTACATTCTCTTCTCTCCCTGGGATGAAGGATCAGCCAATACAAGGAAACCATAGAGAATGTTGGCCAAGTATCTGAAGGGACTGGGACTCAGAGAAGCCCTGTGGGGCTCCTTTGTCATAAAACTGGCTGGGTAGGATGTACAGATCACTTCCTGTTGGTCTTTCAAGGAAAAGTTTCAACCCTAAAGAAGCACAGTATAAAAATAAAATGCTTCATTCTTAGCCGGACAAGGGAATCTTGTAACACTCATCTGGTGAATTGCTTGGATGGCCCTGGGATTCCGCTGAACAGATGGCTACTGGTTTTTGTTTTTCATTTTTTAAAAGACAATATACCACTTCACAGAATTGACATGTAGGTGCAGGAACAAGTGTCTAAGTCGGGCTGATGTCAACAATAGCAACCTGCAATTTCAGCTGCTACTGCAAAGCAGACCCGGGACTGAGTATTATTTCCACCCTGGGTTGAGAGCTTTTAAATCTCTCGTGCCTCAGTTTCCCTTCTCACCACAAGGGGTCTCATAGTTCTCTTATGGGCTTAGCGTCTAGAAAGTAAAGGCAAGAGTCTAGAAAGAAACAAAAATGCCTAGAACCAGAGATTTTGATGGAAAATGAAGAGGTGAATGGAACTTTCATTCATCACAAATTTTGACATCCCATGTTTCCTCTCTATGCCTTGTATGTGAGCTTCTCCCAATACAATCCTAAACCAATAAAATCTTCATTCTAACAAATATCAAAGCAGAGCAATGTATAGTGTGGAAAGTTAAGAGAGAGAGAAAGAGAGACGTGGGGTCATTCACTGGATAGAGTGAGGGTCTTGTTTCACTCGGTTTCTCAGGATTCTAAGTCTCACTGCTTGTTTTTGTTTTCTTTGAGCTTGGATCTACGTCTATCTGCTTTTCAATTTGTTTCCAGATAGCCATTGAGAAGAGTTGGCTCTTCATGAGGGAATTCAGTATACTTGTGGCCTGTATTAATTAACAGCCTTGAAGCCAAAGATGACTGACATTCATTTCCAAATGGGCACAGCTTTCCAGATACCTCCACGAATTTCAGAATAATTTAGACCATGGATAAAAGCCCCATATACATGTCAGCTCAGTAAGATTAGCACGGTTCTAAGTTCTAAAGAATGTTAAGACATGGGTTTAATCAAGTGAAGGAATTGGATAACTTGGGGTATCATTAGTCATGTCAAGGCCATTATGAGAATAGTGAGTACCCAATTCTTGTTTGGACTGTATAGACATAATGCCCTTCAGATGAAAACTGTTACAAGGAGGGGAACTAATATTTAGTACATGCTTTTCTTCTTTTCTTTTTCCATTTAATCCTCAAAGTGACCTAACAAGTTGGATTTTATCATACCCCTGGTAAAGCTGAGGTTAAAATTACAAAGTTAGGACGCACAAAGCTGAGATTTGAACCCTTATCTTTCTCATTCCAAAGCCATGTCTTGTCTTTTAATACTATACTGCCTCCTAGAGAAAGTTTTAAAATGATAGTGTTCGAAAGCGAGATTTCTTAATGTTATTCAATTCATACTTGAATTCACGTCACTCCCTTGGGTTTGGGAAGTGGGACAATAAAAGAAACGGACCCTGACCTTCTACAGTTTGTAATTTGCCAACAGGAAGGGTTAATGTTAAGTACAAGCACAAACCTAAAAAGTAAACTGCAAGATGGATGGTCTTGGTACTCTATTTCAGAAGGTTTAAATGCAATTTAGATGGAGACAGGTGACTGAAGTAACCCCTCAGTGCTCTCCCTCACCTTAGCAGAGGAGGATACTGAAAAAGGCCTGGGATTTCTCTATTCACAAATGCAAATCAGTGCATTTCAATGCGTGTATTGTGACTCCACAATATAAGACATTCCATGCCTGGCAGTGGTACCATTGAACAAACAATGATATAGTGCAGGGGTTAGGAGCTGGGGCTCTAAGTTTACACTGCCTAGCCCTACATTTGGTATACCCCCACTTACTGCTGACTTTAGACAAGTTCCTTAACTCTTTACATCTAGTTTCTCATTTGTAAAATGGGAATACTAATAATAGTATCTAATTTGTAGGGTTGTTGTAAATATTACATGTAAAATACTTGTATACAAGTCAATTAGGAAAACGTCCAGCACATTGTTAAGATCTCAAAACATATATTAGCTATTTTTGTTCTACTTGATCTTATTCTTGTTATCATCACGAAAGAGCAAATACTCTTATTTAAAGATTTTTATTCATCCAAACTGCTCCTGCTACAGGTGACAGAACTGATGATCAGAGGAGGACAGTGGCATGCCATGGCCATACACAGAACGGGAGGTAGACGGCAGAGAAAAACATGTTGTCTAGGCCTCCGGCAGTCCACAAAGCAATTTATATCACCCAGCCCATGAGATAAAATTGCTGAGAAGTAAAGAGCGTTCAGCGCTAACCCAGGAGCCCTTCTTCAATTTCTGCCATTTTGTTCCATGTGAATGTAATAGATTTGTAGTCACTGGACATTCCTCTGCACCAGGTGCTGGGCCAGGTGCCTGGTTCCCCTGGCCATCTTCTTAACTCTAGAATTTCTAAGAAAGATACAAAGTCCTGAAGAGGCAGGGGTTCAAGAAGTTTCCAAAATGTCACATATCCCAACAGTGGTTGGCAAATTAAAAATACAGTCTATAGAACTCCAGGGCTAACAATAAACATTAACAGGGGAGAGGCGGGAGCCAGTCTCGCCCACACCCACACTAACCTCCAATGAGCTCAGCTCCGGGTCGATCCATTTTTGTTACTAATGGTCCACATTTTTCTTCATTTTAAAAGCATTCTTTACAAAACCTTAGTTTTAAAGTTTTATTGCCTAAAATGTTAGACTCCCCAAACCGCGCCACATTCCCTGATAGAATATGGAGGCTCAGGAATGCTGTAACCTAATTCAGGGATTTGCAGCTACCTGGGGACAGAGTCGGAATCAAGCCCAGATTGCGCTCATCTGAGCTCCACGTGGCTTCCACTAGGCCACTCTG